ACATTAGGAAGAAAAGAGCAATTTCATTGCACTCTAGTAATTCCCGTTTTTATCAACCATACACATAAAAGCAATTTGCAAGCAAATTTCTACTGCGTCCTGCTGGTTTCTCTCTTTGTAACATATCCAAGACACACCTTCTTTAGGAAAAGTTCTACTGATATCAGTGGGCTTTCAAAGGCAAACGGCAACAAAAGAAAAGTCAGCTCAATAAATTTTTTTCAGTAGAAGACCATGTTGCCGGAATATGATATGGCATTTCTGTTTTAATTACGTATAACCACAATAAATAATCCTTAGCCATTGGCAACCATTTTCAAATATCACACATGCTACAGCACAGACTCAGAGGGTGGCGCCTCATGATCAGATGCATTTCCAACCAAGCTGTGACAGATTAACTTGGTTCTGATCAATTCTTACCATCCCAGCAAAAAACTTGTTATATAAATTCCGATTTCTAACCACAAGAAGTCTATCTAATCTCCACATTGTACCTCTCATCCCCATTTTAACTGAGATTGTCATTTGCTGTAACATGTTAAGCCTGATTTCTACCTACAGCAAAGCAAACTAAAATTATGGGACCTGCATTATTAGATTTATAACATTTACACTGGGCATGACAACAGAGGGCCGAGTCCCTGTGGTTTGTATTTGTGATAAGGTCTGCTGCTCAAAATGAAATAAACTACTTAAAATCATCTCAACTTCAATTGAAATGCACCTTATACTAAGCTGGGGTAGCACTAACACTCACCAATGTAGCTAAATGCTAAAAATGACTTCATGTTGGCTAAACAAACTAGGGTTGATTTGACTTGTTTTAGTCAAATTTAAACCATTTTGCAAAAAAAAAAAAAAAAAAAAAAAAAAAAAGTAGTGATTTGGCTAAGTGAAAAAAATTGTTAGCGCTACCCCAGCTAAATTTCAAGATACTATAGCTGTTACAGCTAAATATAGTAAAAGATATTACCACGTACACATAATTATGCATTTCTGACAGATCCAATCAATCATTCTCATTTTTCATCACCTCATTATCAATTATAGATGAAGCTGCTATGGATATATGCCACCTCTGTCACTGACAGAAGCTTTAGTTGCATTGCATGTTCGTTTACTTGTTACACAAACCTCAAAGTGAAATCACACATTATCCTTCTCTATAAATCATTAGCATCCCCCATACACCTCATTCATGTGTTTGCTACATAAAAAAACTCAATATTCTCCTTGCATATGAAGTGCTTTGTGATATTTGATAAGTGTTTAATGATAGTACACAGTAAAACAGTTTGTGTCAACAAAATTAATTGGTTGCTGTGCACAGCAAGATATAACAGTAACATCTGAACTAATTACCTGTAGCTTGCAATGCCTATAAGAACTATTTCTCGAACAAAGCAATAATTTTATTTATGACAAGATCCAGTTAAGACTGAATTCATAATTTACTGTAGAATACAACTCTCGCTCTCTCTCCATTAATAACTAAGACATGAATTTTGGATTAAAAAAAAAAATTAGGAAAAATCAGCTTGTTGGTCTTATGAGTGCTGCTTACGGTGAATGCTACCAAGAAAAAAATCTTATTTCCAATTCGAACTAAGATAAACTCATGTCTGAAAATTATGTCTGTGATTCTAGCTAGCATCAGGAAGAAAATGCCCTAGTGCACAATTTTTGTTATATAAGATCTTTAACTTTATAAGATTTCTCTTACTTAAACACCGTAGGAGATAGCAGGACAAAATTGCACAAGACTGAAGTACCGCACAACTACAAGTCAATATCTTCATGTGTAAGGTTTCAATGAAGTTGACTGAACAGTTAGGAGGGGATGGGCATTCAAAGGCAGCATGATATAAAAGTACAGTTTTCAAAATTTTTAAAAAATTGTTGCAGGGAAATTCAGGACAGACAGACAGACAAACAGACAGACGGACAGATGTATGGACCAAAACCCAACTGCTTTAGCTGAGGTTAAGAGACTGATATTTCAGTTCTTTATAGTCAGACCCTACATTTTTCAATAAAAAATCTGACCAAATTCAAATCTCTTGAAAGCTGCATGGGGAGAAACTGTTAACAACCAATACGCAAAACTGGCAAATCTTCAATACTAATTCTCCAAACATTACTTCTATACCATCAACATCATAGAACATGGATAAGAGCCCTTATGAGCGCATTCAGAACAACGAACTAACAGATCCGCGGATCAAATATGGCGACTTGCTTAAAAGGTTGCACGGAAATTCTCGATTAGACACTGCATAGATTCCCTGCAGAATCAGAATTCAGAACAGCGACCTAACTGGTCCGCGGGCCAAATATGGCGACCAATTAAAAAGCTTGTCATCTAAGGGTGCTTTCCCAGAGCTTTAGATCGATCTAGAGATTAAGATTTAGATCGACCTAACTCCCTGGGGGTTCATGCTAAATTGCAGTCAGCCGAGCGGGCACCATAGTTAATTACCCCCTTATAGCTTTTAGTAGGCGGGTCAGACGCTTAAGACGGCCAAGCTGACAGTAATCTAGTGAGACTCCCCACAGGGATAGATCGATCTAAAAATCTATGGAAATGGGGTGTAATCCGCTAATACACACTGACTAGATTCCCCAAGGGGATGTATTCAAGTGGGTCTGCCATATCTGACACATGGACTAGTTAGTCCGCTGTTCTGAATGTGGCTTTTAACTCTTGATTGCACACTGATGGCCAGCTAAAAGCCATCTTTATGATAAGTCCTCTAAATGACCTCTCATCAAGCAGGTATTGTTGTAAATGTGATCAGACTGCATTCAGATTGGTGTTAACTACTGTCAATTATTAATATCAACAAAAGCAACATGTCTGGCTTGGTCAATATCAAAAGGTGAATGAATGGAATCTTTCTGACAGCTCTGCACATTGTTGTTGCAGTTACATATTTCTTATAATAATAGCTTTATTTTCTTCTATCAAAAGAAGAAAGCACATATTTGGAAAACAATAAGTCACAATCTTTATAATTTCTGATTAGGTCAAAGTCTACAGAGGGCATATAAATATTAAATAAGCAAGTCTTAAAGTGAAAATTTTAGTAAATGCTGGTTAAGGAGAAGTTCATGTCTGGAATTTTATTAAATAACAGCAGTGTAAAATGAGAGCTGAATTAGGAAAATAGTTACAAAATCAATATGACAGCTACAATTTGTTTTCATGCAAAGGAGAGAAAAAATTTTTATCCAGCTATAAACCTAATGCTATCCAATGAATAATAAAGAAAAAATTCTCCCAGAGAGCTGACTGGTGCTGGGAAATTAATCACACATTTTAATCTGATAACTTTGCAGATGTTTCCTCCAAGAATATCCCTCAACTCCAATCCAATCTAACTAAGCACATCCATCATCAGATAAAACGTTATAAACAGATATCTGTAGATTCTGATCAAGGGCGACTGAAAATTGGCAAAAAATAACGCACTTAAAAGAGCACCTATTTTGAGCACTAAAGTAAAGTCAGTTTGATATCCACATGCCATATATCAAATCACTGATGGCCTAATGAATAAATGGATGGTAATAAAAGCCTTTAGCGGTAAAATTGTTTTGACACACAAGTGAGTGATAAAGTTAGCTGTCTCAGGCGGGCTTGGCTCTTCCAACCAGACAGCAGAAATGGTTGGAAATGGGAACCAATAAGGTGTCTCGTCTGGCATGTTAACATGATTATCTCTAAACAAATTTCCCAACACACATTCTAATTAAGCAACTTACAGCCTAGACACAAATGATCTAAAACAAACAACTAATGGACAGGTATTTCCTATAGATAAATATATCACTTTATCTAACCTTGAGGCATCTTAACACAATTTTTCTAAGACTTTTGAAAATCAAGCATATTTTGTATTATTTTAATGAATCATAAACCACAAGTACATTAAACTGAATGACCCCTACAACTTTTTCCACAGTAAATGTCCATTAACTATTTACAGAAAAACTGATTTAGAAAATATCGCAGCAGACGACCCTGTCATGGCAGACAAATTTCCCATCAATCAATAGTCCAACCATGCCGGAGGTGATGTGATTTCAATGCATTAGCAGCAATTAAGAGAACCAGATCCAATGTCACGGAACAATGGACCCTGAGGACTCTTAAGGGCTTTTACCTAGGAACACGATATGCACTGGCCATACCTTCATTAGTCTTTAAGTACAAAAAAAAAAAAACAAAAAAAAAACAACCAAATCTATGCTGGACTAGTTAAGAGGTTTAAGCAAATTTTTCTGCTAATTATTATGATATAGTTATACAGTAGGCATTTCTATTCTAAATTACTTGTGTCTTTTCAGAATCTTTCCAGAATATTATTACTAATAACACACACACATGCATGCACACACAGACAAACACACAAACAGCTGTTCCTGGGAAGATGACAAACCTCTAATGGAGCTTCTAAGGAACATGACAGTGAGCATACATCAAATCTACCTTGATCATCTTTAAACAAAACACCTGTTAAGTTTGTTGAAAGGTTTATGAGTGGTGTCTTCCAGAAATCTCAAAATGCCAAGGAAAATGGTATAGAGAAGACTTCTGTCTTAATCAAGAACCAACCAATACAGTCAACGTTTCTTATCCTATCTCTAAGAAAACCAATAAATTTGTTTAGTAAGATAGAAATCCCAGAAATACCTTTTGAATTCCTTAATTGTAAAAAGATATACAGACATGTTCATTCAGATTTCCACATAAAAGTGTAATGGTGAAAAGATTAACCAGTGTGTAGTTAGTATGTTCTAAAAATACACTTTATTCTCTCTCTCTCTCTCTCTCTCTCTCTAACACACACACACACACACACACACACACACACACACACACACACACACACACACACACACACACACACACACACACACACACACACACACACACACACACACACACACCTCTTCGAAATCCAGACAACAGATGGAGCCACCAGCACACTCACCATTCTCTCCAATCTCCAGCAGCTTAGGTGCAAACCTCTCCAGCATCTCCACACTGTGGGAGAACCTGACCACAAACAGTAGCAGCTCGGTGGTGTAACTGGCACACACTGACTTCTTGATCTTAATGTCTTTTGCCTCATCCCCTAAAATATAGGAAATACTGCACATTACTTTAACTGAAAATGGTCATAATATCATTTTGATTGTAGAAATACAGACATGCTGAAAACTTTTCAGAATGCCAGACATTTGGACCGGCAGTTATGAAAAATTTTGTCGGACCTAATGGATTTTTGTCAGACCGAAAATCACTCTATTCGTTTGAGACAGATACTACCAGTACGATTAGGGTAGCTTACTTTGTTTGTGAATGTGATAGGTTTGAATTGGAAGGGAAAAAACGCTTTGGGTTTTATATAATTTTATTAGTGACGTATGTTGAATAATGACTGTAAATTCAAAATTGTGGCTCTTAAAACTCTTGACAGTCTTTTGGACCGACCACATCCAATTTTTTACCGGTCCAGACAAATTTTCCCGGTCATGACCGATCGGACCGACAGTTTCAGCACATCTGGAAATACACCACCTTTATTCCCACAGAGTTTGACCATCAACTACATCTGTTTTTCAGTGTAATTGTATTGCTCAATATCATGATATTAAGAGGAAAAAAACATCTTGCTACCCACAATGTTGGCAAAGATGATACTGTTTAATGTCTTCATCAACCTAGTTTCTAAGTTTACATCTTGTGGGAACTAGCACCTATTGCAACAATGTATAACCGACCTTATCAATTATACTAACTTCCATACAAGCTACTGGTGCAACAAACTGCCATCTTCTCTGACATTTTACCCGGGAGTTCTTCAGTATCAAACCCACAGAAGACCTCACTAACAGAGTTAAATCCAAGTGACCAACTTACCAGTGAGTTCCATGAAAGGTATCAAAGCAGCCAGATTGTCATCCTGGCTGAGAACATGAACCACTGCCTCGCGGCCAATTGTGTTAAAGGTCATGGAGTATATGCTGTGAAGGGTCGCCAGGGCCTCCACGTTGTCAATCTCCTTGTTGATGTCTTTTTCATGGAAGGCTCTGAGCTGGTCTATGAACTGTAGCATCTGTAGGTAGTATATCATCTGAAAACCAAGCTGCTGGAGTGGGTTGTCCTCGGCAACCTCCTCTTTGCTGTCATCCTGTAAGGTTAAGGTCAGCAATAAAGGACAGGGTCAACAGTAAAGGGCAAGGTTTATCAGAAGAGGGCAAGGACGAAATAAGTCAAGGTCACATCCTAAATGAATGATTATTCAATTCTTGTCATTTTTAATTTTTTTTTTCATGAAGAAAGACTAAAACAAGTGAAAAACTACTGAAAGGTAGGAGCTTCAAACAAGCTGTGGGCAGAACAAAGCTGGCTCCCACTTGCATTATTAACTGTTTATTTATTGTCACTCTAAACACAAGAAATACAACTAAAATGTTCATTTATTAACCGAGCACAAATCATGTTTAAACTCACTGAAGACTGTGTCAGGACACGTGTGATTCCATTGACAGCGTCCGGCTGTGAAGACAGGAACAGCATCCCAGTCTGAGTGCGCATGAGTTCACACAGCAGTTCTCTGACAGCACAAAAGATGGCAGCACTGTTTGCTGTGGCAGAACAGGACAACAGGAAGAACAGGTTTCCCAGTAGGTCACTGGAAAATACAAAGTGAAACATGAAATATATGTTGTGGAAATTTAGGACCATACAATGAGGAAAACTGATGTGAGGCAACAGCCATGAAGACATTTAAAACAGATGGAAAATACTGCCATGACGATAGTTTTATACAACAAGGGCATTTGCACACATTTGTATCCAAAACAGAGTTGTAAATCTTTCTATTTTTTTCACTTTTAACTGCACATTAACCTTTTAGCCTGGAGGTACATTTGACAGAATAATACAGAGAAAAATAAGAAGAAAATGTGGCTCACCATGAGTTCAGTATCTGACAGAGATGTGGGTAAGGATCGTATGGTTTCTGCTTCACCTCAAACTTCACTTTGGCAGGAAGAGTCCTCCGTGGCTGAGCCTGTATGTAAAAATTTTAATAAAAATAAAATAAACATAAAAATTAAGACTATGTTAAGCATGTAAGAAACAGATATATAGTGTTTTCCCCATAAAGTTCTCATTTCAAATGTTATATTTTCTTGTACAGATGCATATTTAGAACTCATCATTCCTTCTCCAATCTTAACAATCATCTCTGTCTCCTGTGGGCATTATCAGCAAATTTAATATTTGGAAAAATGATAGACCAATTTTATAGTAATCTAGTTTTTGTCACACCAATGAAAAATGAGAACCTACAAACATCATTCACATACTGCTTCATCTGTTCATCATGAAACCTTAAGAAAAGGGGGAATTTCTACTATCTATCCATCAACACTATACAAATTACCACAAAACACCTAAAACCATACCAGCAACCAATGAAAAAAAGGAAGTGAGAAAATGATCAAACATGGTTTTGGGTTGTAAGGATAAAGAAATGGCTTGGTTGCTGGTTGCTTTACAACTGGAGGTCTGGGTTCCACTTAAAAAAAATGCCAAGAAAAATTTGAATTGCCAATTAAAATCATGGTGGTGGTGGTGGTTGGGGGGGGGGGGGTAAATAGCTGTCTGATACTTACCATTAAGTCGCAAGCATTAACGAAGAATTTCAGAATTTCTTCCAAACATGCCACCACACTCTCCTCATCTTCCTCCTGGAGCAGACATCTTGGTTCCTCAGTCTCCTCCTCAGAGGACAGAGATACTTTCATCTCTGAATCATCTGACTCTGTCTTTTCAACCAGACTAAAAATACAATGACATAAACTGGTGTGAATCAAATACTGACCCAAAACTCTGTTGACAGAAACAGGCATAATCTCACCCAAGGTTCTCCCACAGTGCCTTCTGTACATTTATCAGTATTTCTTAATAATATAAATTTCTACCAGTCCAATAATAAAATAATATAATTTTTACAAGAAGAGGTAAATTGATCTTCAACTATTTCCCGATTTAGATCCCAATTTTGAGTTATTTCTTTCAATCCTATACAAATGTTAACAAATGATACACAAAATCCAGTCGTGGAATAAATTAGGTCACAAGCAGTGGTCATCCATGATGTCATCCCCAAGGTCATCTCTGACCGCCTACCTGAGAACAGTGGACCGTAGCCTGGAGGCTATCTCATGGATGTGAGCCTTCCGTACCAAAGATGTCCATGCCACCACTGTGCGAATGTTCTAATTAAAAGATATAGAATAGTTTGCTGTATTTCATAATGGATATTTACATGACGTTTACTTCATGTTAAATGCAATTTTATCCATCAAATAAATATCAATTATCTTCCAAACAACAGATCTGAATAGGAACCAATCAAAAGTAACCTAAAAGTGAATAAAAACATTTATATGTCCATAAATGCAAAAATCTGTATGCTTTGACAAAAATTAATCTCAAATTATCAGGGTGAAGTAATGGCTAGTTAGTAAAATAAACACTTGCCGTCCAGGTAAACCCTCACCTGTTTTACCAGTATCATTTCCAGCACTCTCTGGTAACACCCCTTCTCAGGCATTTCCCCACTCTCCATCTTCACCACCGGCTTCTCTTGTCTGACACTGCCACCTAGGAACCAATCCATGCCTTCTTTCAGCCGTGTGGTGTCATCCAGAGCTTTGATGATCAGGATTTTGACAGACATGGACATGTACTGAGAGCTGTATAAGTCCAGGAGTTTAGACTGCACACCTTGGCTCTGAAATAATAATAAAGAACAGTGAACACACTTTTTTATTTCAAGCAGTAGAGAGTCATGTCCTGGGAATGGGTACATTTAACAGTCAGATAACCCCTTACTAGGCAAGTCACTAATCATTAATTTAGGGCTTTGTCTAGTTTTTTACATTTTATGGCATCAAAGAAATCTATTACCAGTAATTTGAGGTCTTTGTCCAGTATTTACATTTACAGTATCAGAGAAATCTATTACCAGTAATTTGAGGGCTATGTCAGCATCTGTTGAACACAAAGCTGCAGTGAGTTTGATCCCCATCTTCAGATGCCTGATCTTGAATGCTGTCACAGGTTGTTTGATGGCCAGCTCAAGGTTCAGTCCCTCCATTGTCCACTCAACCAGCGTGTCCACTACATCTGTAATGAATAATATGAAAGTGAAAGTACGGTCCTGAAATTTTCAATACAATGTCTTACATGACCTGATTAACTTCAGTTATTAGTCATACAAGATTTAGCAAACTTATTAGTCTTACAAGACCTAATAAACTACAGTGGCCAGTGATCATCTATCAGAATTTCCATTACTGGCAACCACTGTCTCAAAGTAAATGTATCAATGTCTTCAAAGGTGGGGGACATTCTTTGTTTGCCTTCTTAAAGTCTTGGTCCAAAAACTCCATCATTCAACTCGAACATTTATTTGTGAAATCCCTAGCCCCCTTTTAAGTGACAGGGATTAGTGAGCTGCAGGTTAAGATCATTAAATGATTCCATAATTCTGACTGCTGTGCATCTAGCTAAAATATCCATTCATCAAATATCACATCTATCATATTTACCTTTATTCTCTGCCTTCCACACAAGGTAAGCTAAACCTTTAGCAAGCAGCCCTGGCACTTCCTCCATAGCTTCAACCCATCTAAATACGGAATCATGGAAAATGTTAAATTTCCTTGTTCATGTTAGCAAAATGACACTAGAAAACTTGATCTCATAAAAACCTACATAGGCAAATTAAAAACATTTGTTTTTAGGCTCACAATGCCAGTCATTATACTCATGACAACATAGTGTACTTCTCAGATGAACTGCACCTGGCCACAGATATTTCATGTAACAATGCACCTCAAGATAACTTTACTCAGTTAAACCATCGGTTACCAGTCAAGGAGGCCAAATATATGGACAATGGACAGGGCCATTTCTATGACCACAGAGCCAAGACTACTAGTACATCATGGACTGATAATCTTACTTGTCAGCATGTTCCTCTGTCCTGTAGGTCTGGACAATGTCCAACAGTCTGGAAGCCTCTTCTGGCAGCTCCGCCTCAGGGTGCTGGCACAGCCACAGTTTCTGCTGTTGATAAGGGGTCTGGGACGGATCTGGTAGAGTCTGGGAAGATAGATAGGTCAAGGTGATACATAATACAGTATGTGTATGTGTCTAAGAAAGTAAAAGAAGGTAGAAGGTTGTTGGCACTACTCAGCCACTAATCAACTGCCCTCTCCTGGTGTGACAATTATCACAATGACTTATCCCTTTTAAATGTGATCTTATAAGACTTTATCTTCATGACAAAGACATTGCGTTAGGTGAGACTGAACAGAAAACTTGCACACTCCTCATTATGCATCAGGTGAGACAAAGCCAGCAAATACATACACTCACAAATACCTGCAATTTATGAATGTTAATATAAAGATAATATTATAACTTACCATGAGCCGGGTAATCTCACACTGATAGGGATTAAAGGTGGGAATTTGGTAGCTCCAGTCGTCATTGGTCATCTCAAATGTTCCAAATAACTGAAAGAGTATTCATTCCTTAAGTATGGATCAAACTAAATACATATTTCCTCACTTTTGTTTCTTACTCCTTCAGACAATTACTATCTGAATGGCAAATATTTACAAATATAGCTTTAAACTTAGCTTAGTTCCATCCTACCTCTGAGAAAGCTGAAATAAAAGGAATGCTAATGACCCCCTCAGAGAAAGATGAAAGACCAAACTTAATTGCAAAAAAGCCTCAAGAAAAAAAAATCTATGCAGAATTTCCTTTTCCTACCTCAGAGATGGAGTTCTCATCATCATCAAACTCCTCCCCAGACAAGATGGGCTCATAGTCTCCCTCTTCCTGGATCTCCCCCTCATCAGAGAGGTTCTGATAGGAGAGGGGCCCTGTAGGGGAGCGTTCCTGCAGCTCAAAGTTTTCCTCTACTTGCTCCTCGGCTATTTCACCTGCATTTTTGACAAAGACGATATAAATCATGCCTGTGACAGTTTTTGTACTGTAACATGGAAGTTTTTGCAAAAGTTTTCCAAATGCCATACAAACTCTCATATATCTCTCTCTCTCTCTCTCTCTCTCTCTCTCTCTCTCTCTCTCTCTCTCTNCACAAGCATTAACGAAGAATTTAAGAATTTCTTCCAAACTTGCCACCACACTCTCCTCATCTTCCTCCTGGAGCAGACATCTTGGTTCCTCAGTCTCCTCCTCAGAGGACAGAGATACTTTCATCTCCGAATCATCTGACTCTGTCTTTTCAACCAGACTAAAAATACAATGACATAAACTGGTGTGAATCAAATACTGATCCTAAACTCTGTTGACAGAAACAGGCATAATCTCACCCAAGGTTCTCCCACAGTGCCTTCTGTACATTTATCAGTATTTCTTAATAATATAAATTTCTACCAGTCCAATAATAAAATAATATAATTTTTACAAGAAGAGGTAAATTGATCTTCAACTATTTCCTGATTTAGATCCCAATTTTGAGTTATTTCTTTCAATCCTATACAAATGTTAACAAATGATATACAAAATCCAGTCGTGGAATAAATTAGGTCACAAGCAGTGGTCATCCATGATGTCATCCCCAAGGTCATCTCTGACCGCCTACCTGAGAACAGTGGACCGTAGCCTGGAAGCTATCTCATGGATGTGAGCCTTCCGTACCAAAGATGTCCATGCCACCACTGTGCGAATGTTCTGAAGATATAGAATAGTTTGCTGTATTTCATAATGGATATTTACACGACGTTTACTTCATGTTAAATGCAATTTTATCCATCAAATAAATATCAATTATCTTCCAAACAACAGAATAGGAACCAATCAAAAGTAACCTAAAAGTGAATAAAAACATTTATATGTCCATAAATGCAAAATTCTGTATGCTTTGACAAAAATTAATCTCAAATTATCAGGGTGAAGTAATGGCTCATTAGTGAAATAAACACCTGCCCTCCAGGTAAACCCTCACCTGTTTTACCAGCATCATTTCCAGCACTCTCTGGTAACACCCCTTCTCAGGCATCTCCCCACTCTCCATCTTCACCACCGGCTTCTCTTGACTGACACTGCCACCTAGGAACCAATCCATGCCTTCTTTCAGCCGTGTGGTGTCATCCAGAGCTTTGATAATCAGAATTTTGACAGACATGGACATGTACTGAGAGCTGTATAAGTCCAGGAGTTTAGCTTGTACACCTTGGTTCTGAAATAATAGTAAAAAACAGTAAACAAACTGTTTTATTTTATGCTATGACCCATTTCAAGCAGTAGAAAGTCATGTTCAGAGAGTGGGTACATTTAACATGGCCAGATAACTCTTTACCAGACAAGTCACTAATCATTAATTTAGGACAATGTCCAGTTACTATATATAATAGTATCAGAGAAATCTGTTACCACTAATTTGAGGGTCATGTCCAGTTACTTTATTTAATAGTATCAGAGAAATCTATTACCAGTAATTTGAGGGCCATGCCCAGTTACTACATTTAATAGTATCAGAGAAATCTATTACCAGTAATTTGAGGGCTATGTCAGCATCTGTTGAACACAAAGCTGCAGTGAGTTTGATCCCCATCTTCAGATGCCTTATCTTGAATGCTGTCACAGGTTGCTTGATGGCCAGCTCAAGGTTCAGTCCCTCCATTGTCCACTCTACCAGTGTGTCCACTACATCTGTAATGAGTAATATGAAAGTGAAAGTGAAAGTACAGTCCGGAATTTTCTATACAGTGTCTTACATGACCTGATTAACTTCAGTTATTAGTCATACAAGATTTAGCAAACTTATTAGTCTTACAAGACCTAATAAACTACAGTGGCCAGTGATCATCCATCAGAATTTCCACTACTGGCAACCACTGTTTCAAAGTAAATGTATCAATGTCTTCAAAGGTGGGGGATATTCTTTGTTTGCCTTCTAAAAGTCTTGGTCCAAAAAGTCCATCATTCAACTCGAACATTTATTTGTTAAATCCCTAGCCCCCTTTTAGGTGACAGGGATTGGTGAGCTGCAGGTTTAAAACATTAAATAATTCCATAAACTCTGATTGCTATGCATCTAGCCAAAATATCCATTTATCAAAAATCACATCTATCGTATTTACCTTTATTCTCTGCCTTCCACACAAGGTAAGCTAAACCTTTAGCAAGTAGTCCTGGCACTTCCTCCATGGCTTCAACCCATCTGAATACAGAATCATGGGACATGTTATATGTCAATTCCTTGTTCATGTTAGCAAAATTGACACTGGAAGACTTGATCTTATAAAAATCTGTATAGGCATATTAAAAAATTCTACTTTTTGGCTTGCACTGCCAGTTAACATACAATCATTATAACCATGAAAACATAGTGTAATCCTCAGATGGACTGCACCTGGCCACAGATATTTCATGTAACAATGCACCTCAAGATAACTTTACTCAGTTAAACCAACAGTTACCAGCCGAAGAGGCCAAAGAAGAGGACAATGGACAGGGCCATTTCCATGACCACAGAGCCAATCTTACTTGTCAGCATGTTCCTCCGTCCTGTAGGTCTGAACAATGTCCAACAGTCTGGTAGCCTCTTCTGGCAGCTCCGCCTCAGGGTGCTGGCACAGCCACAGTTTCTGCTGTTGATAAGGGGTCTGGGACGGATCTGGTAGAGTCTGGGAAGATAGATAGGTCAAGGTGATACATAATACAGTATGTGTATGTGTCTAAGAAAATAAAAGAAGGTAGAAGGTTGTTGGCACTACTCAGCCACTAATCAACTGCACTCTCCTGGTGTGACAATTATCACAATGACTTATCCCTTTTGAATGTTATCTTATAAGACTTTATCTTCATGACAAAGACATTGCGTTAGGTGAGACTGAACAGAAAACTTGCACACTCCTCATTATGCATCAGGTGAGACAAAGCCAGCAAATACATACACTCACAAATACCTGCAATTTATGAATGTTAATATAAAGATAATATTATAACTTACCATGAGCCGGGTAATCTCACACTGATAGGGATTAAAGGTGGGAATTTGGTAGCTCCAGTCGTCATTGGTCATCTCAAATGTTCCAAATAACTGAAAGAGTATTCATTCCTTAAGTATGGATCAAACTAAATACATATTTCCTCACTTTGTTTCTTACTCCTTCAGACAATTACTATCTGAATGGCAAATATTTACAAATATAGCTTTAAACTTAGCTTAGTTCCATCCTACCTCTGAGAAAGCTGAAATAAAAGGAATGCTAATGACCCCCTCAGAGAAAGATGAAAGACCAAACTTAATTGCAAAAAAGCCTCAAGAAAAAAAAATCTATGCAGAATTTCCTTTTCCTACCTCAGAGATGGAGTTCTCATCATCATCAAACTCCTCCCCAGACAAGATGGGCTCATAATCTCCCTCTTCCTGGATCTCCCCCTCATCAGAGAGGTTCTGATAGGAGAGGGGCCCTGTAGGGGAGCGTTCCTGCAGCTCAAAGTTTTCCTCTACTTGCTCCTCGGCTATTTCACCTGCATTTTTGACAAAGACGATATAAATCATGCCTGTGACAGTTTTTGTACTGTAACATGGAAGTTTTTGCAAAAGTTTTCCAAATGCCATACAAACTCTCATATTTTCTCTCTCTCTCTCTCTCTCTCTCTCTCACACACACTCACACGCACGCACGCACGCACGCGCACACACACACACACACACACACACACACACACACAAGCATTTATCATGTATGAGGTTGAGCAGCTAAGTTTCTCATTGACATGTATAATCAAGTACAAGTAGTAGTCTTCAAAAACCATACAATACAGCTGTTTCAATGATGCTGCTGGTATCAAAAAGGATATTTCCATTCTATAATACTTATGCATGTCCTTCTTATAGGATTCTTAAGAGTCAAACAAAACAGAGCTCGCGGTGGGCGTGGGTTCTGATTCGTCTGGCCCCCACGCCCCCGCTGGTTACTCCTCTTAGCACGATTCATCGATGCTGCCGTTGCTGCGGCCCCAAGAGCTGTGGCCCAAGCGGA